TTATGGATTTAAAAAAAAAATTCTGGAAAGCACTGTCAGTAGTTAAGTTAATCTAATGAAAGCAAAAATAACAACATTCAAAAAGTTCTGTGGGTGTCCTTCTGCTTCAATGTTTAGAGTTGTTCTTATATGTCTGATAAATTTGTATTATAGAATGTCTATTTTGATATTCTGTATATTTTGTCTTGTTTAATAAATGAACAGAAAAGAACTCTAAAAATGGTGAGTAACATTTAGAGAACAGCCCACACAGACATTTCCTTGTGCATGCTATTGACTGTTGAGTGATGCTAATCATTTTTGCATGTCTTGTTTTCATTGCACTTTATAATTTTTATTTTGTTTATATTTATAATACCTAGAATAGAATTGTTGCTGTTAGTTGTAAGATTAGAAAATATAAATAGCATACTTTGATCATAATAAAAAAAAAATCTACAGCTTTTGAGTCAGACATTTAATAGTTTTAGTAAGCCTACATCCTTGAAAATTGATTTTCCATTTTGGCCCTTTCTACATTTGAATGAAAGTTTTTGCAAATAAAAATGTATGAGCATGTCATGAGTTTGTAAAATTACACTTAATATTTGATTTTTCAGTTTACATTGATACTTACGCATTCTTTATTTTGTGTTTTGGGAAATAATCTATTAAGCTGGGATTTTTTCATTTCTTTTTTTCTTTTGCATGTATATTTTTAAAATTTCAATTCTTTTAGATTGTACCTGTGTTCTGTTTAATGTGAAAACAATAGCATTGTGTTCTCTTCTTTTCAACTTCACTACAACTTTACAAGTATTTAGAGTTTTCAGAATTAATCAAATGTTCTCATGATTCAAACTTCTGTTAGAAAGAACAATCACTCTTAAGACTTTTGTGCTTTAGAAGAATGTCAAGCTAACAAATGGAATAGAGAAATGAACAATTCAGAAAATCTTTCTTCATAACAATGGATAATATAAATTAAGAGATACACATTAATAATGTCTCAAAGTTTTCTTTGTTTGAGCATGTCTTAAGTGTTTTCTGTCAGGGAAAAGTCTGTTCCAATCACCTAAATGACTTTGCAAACATTAACATTTTGTTTATTTAGCCTATTGAGACCAAAGCTTTGACTCAATGTAGTCTTTTAAATATTTTTTTTATTATAAAGAATTGAAAATGTAAACAAAAATATAATAATTAAAATAATTCTTTTTACCATTTTGAAAATAAATAAATCTTAATTATTTGTAAGCAACTAGAATGTAGTTATTATAAACAGCTATGAAATATGTTCACATAAAATGTAAGTTCCCATATAGCACATCATACATTTTTGGGGGTTGTAATCATGATCTGGTTTCTATTCTTTAAAATATTACAAAGCTTAAAAAAAAAGTGTTTTTTTTCAGGCCGAGTTGAGAGAGCTAGAAGATAAATATAAAGCGGCCATGATGACGAGTGCCCAGCTTGACAATGAGAAACAGTCTTTTGTTTATCAAGTAGAACTTCTTAAAGATCAACTTGAAGAACAAGATGAAGGTTATACAGAGCTTCAGAGAGAGCATAAAGAGAAGTGTCGGGTAATCAGTTTTTTCATTAGTATCAGCAAAAAATAAACTACATTGTAACATTGTTTTAATAAACTCTTTCTCATGTAAACATTTTTTATATTGCATAATTAATACGTAACTCTTTATTCTGTATTGTTGCTTATTATGAACATTTTGCCATATGAAGTTCACTACTGTAATAATATGAAATTTCGTTTAGTTTTAAATGTTCTATAATAATATAATATGATTCTACTTTAAAAACAAGCCATAGAAAAAAGAATACTTTTTAAAAACAAAACTTATCTAAGGGAAGAAACTGCTAAGTATTGCCATTTTTCTGAAAATTACGGGGTTTTACTCCATTTCTGTTATATAAATTAAATTTAATTATTTAGTACCTAATTGGTTATTTTTTCGATTAATTTATACACATTGATATAACAAAATTTGTGGTTTGTTCCATAGGAATACGAGTTTATGAAACGTGATTTAAAGAGTATGGAACATGAATTGAATATTTTAAAACAACAATTAGAGATTAAAGACAAACTAATAATGGCAAGTATTTAAATTTATTAGAAGCTAAATATAATTTTTCTATCTAAAGCTTGTAGTTTACACAAATTAAAAATGTAGATCTGGTATAAGATTTTGATTTATTAAGTAAATAATTTTTATTTTTTTTGTGAGGGTTGTCGTTTGAAATAAAATTTTCTTTAAAAAAAAAAATTAATGACATTAAACTCTTTATTTACATTTATCTGATGGTATTTTTATTTGGCTAGTTTGTAATACACAATCTTGATATTTATTAAAACCAAATGCAACATCTAGACATTAATTGATGTCCTACAGGGTCAATTCTTCCACACTGGATTTTGTACAGCTTATCTTTATTGTGAGCATGTGAATGTGTTTGAGGAGGATTCAGTTTTGGAAGGGGTGCATATTCCATTGGAGAAGCCAAAGCAAAGATATTCAACTCTTTAAGTGCTAAAATAAAAACTAAAAGAACTGATGGGTCAAAGAACTGTCAGTATGTGTGGGAAAATCATAGTTCATAAACCCTTAAAGCAAGGTCTTAATTAGTATAACTATCTCAAAACCCATCAGTAAAACGGCCCACATAACAGTGCTCCCCCACCCCAACATAATTTTCTCTCTCTCTAATTCTGTGTCCTTTTATTGTCTTTTTCATCCTACAAAAGAAGGGTCCACAACCCCTGATTATATAGTATGCACAAATATGAATTCTAGGACTAGTGTTAGATCTAGATGTCCAAATAATGAACATATCAATAAATAATTGCACAAGTATGCATTGGCCGCTGGCCGAATCAGAAACATAGTATGATCAAGCAGCTGACAGTGTCATGGGTTCAATACCCGGTTTGAATCAAATATTATTTTAAATATTTAAAAAAAAAAGATTTTATTATATATTTAGTATAATAAAGGAGGTATTGTCTTTTAAAAAAAATATTTTTTCTTGTTTTAATATCAGGAAAGTGGATTTGTGATTTTAGCCAATGATAAAGGCGAGCCAGTTTTAGAGAAACAGTCTACGAATAATGGGCCACTTCCTTCTGGAGCTGTGTTGGTGTCTACTGAAACACGAGACTTTTTGGAGAAAGCTGAAGGTGTCACTCTAGGTACTACAGTCAATGATTGTAATAGTAGAACCATGCCAAGTGTATTGGTCTCTGCTAGCTCTGTTGACGCACCAGATTCACACTTGAAGGAATGTGTAATGGGGGATGTAGGGGTAAAAATGGTTGAATCTAGCAGCGACAGGGCTAGTAGTGAGGCTGTGCATGTCAGTAGTTGTGTGTCTACTAAACAAAAAACAACTAAAGATCAAATTGAATATAAGCATAATGAAAAAGACTGCACTGATGGTAGTACTTCATTAGATGCCCTTGAGGGAAGCACCTTACTTGGTACAAAAAAGCAAAGTATTGATCTGTGCACATTGGAAATTCCCACTGGCTTGAACTCTGCTCAAGATCATAGTGATGAGGATTCTGATGAAGTTGATGAGTTTTATGATGCCATAAGTACACCATCTCCATTCAGAAAAAATGCTGAACTCCAAGCTCTATGTGGCAGCTCTGTAGATCCTGACAATACACAACATCTGGCTAGTGACCTTAGCTCTGAGAATGATGGTAGCTGTGTGGATATGGTTTTGAAGACAGACTTGCCAGTTCATGAAGAAATCAAGGTGTATGAATCGGAAAAGCTGGAGCAAATGTGTGAATTAAATGTCGAGACAACAATGGTGAATGCTGAAATAAACTCTCTTGAAATGATTATTTGTGAACCTCAAGAAAAAATGGTGCTGAGTGTAGATAGTGGTGTGATTACTGAGGCCATAATACCTTGTGACAAAGATGAAGTAGGAACTCACAAAAGCAATATTAATGAAGACAGTGTCTCATTTGATAAAATGTCCTGCAACGATGAAGGGTTTCAAAGTACCGAGGATAAAAATGGAGAGGTAAATGAATCTGTTAATAATAATAATAATACTGAGGAATTAGTTGAGAACAGTGATGAGAGTCTTCCTGTCTTACATGAAGTTATCCACAGCGATGATGCTCTTCTCACGAATGATAATTGTAATGTTAAAAAAGCTAATGGGATTACTACAAATGCTGTGATAGTTGGTGTTTTAGAAAATGAGAAGGAAAATATTGCAAATGTAGAATCAGTTTCAGAAGTTAACAATACTGTTGCAGAGGATACATGTGATGTTAGCAAATCTCATCAGATTAGTTTAAATACAGAAGATGATGTTAAAGAACGGGTTGTAGCAGGAAATACATCAGAAAACATAGACAATGTTTCTAAAGATGAGATTGTTGTAGATAAAAATGATGGCAACAAAGATAACACTGAATCTTGTGATAAACAAGAGAATGTTAAAAAGCATGAGAATAATAAAGATGTTGACAAAGATCAGCCTATTTTAAATAACAGACCTGATAGTTTAAATAATGAAACTGTCACAGAAGATGTAAAAGAAGACACTGTTATAAATAGTGACACAAATTTTAATAAAGATGATGATATTTTGGTTGAAAAAAATGTTAAAATAGAGGAGCCTGAATCAAAGAATATAGACGATGTTAAAGAAAAAATTGTTTCCGATAAACAGGTTATAAAACAGGAGATTCAATCTGATGATGGAGAAGTAAATATGATAAAAGATTATGTCATAGCTATAAAAAAAGAAACCATAGCAGAAAATAATGAAGAGATTGACTCAGATAAGAAAGGAGAAAATGAAGTAGCAAATAAAGAGGATACTCTAGCAGTTAATAAAGAAACTGTCTTAGAGAATAAAGAAGAGATTGTAGAAGATAACAAAGAAAAGACTGAAGCAGTTATTAGAGCAGAGACTAAAGCAGTTAGTAAAGATGCGACTGAAGCAGGTATTAAAGAAGAGACTGAATTTATTAGTAAAGAAGAGACTGAAGCGGTTAGTAAAGAAGAGACTGAAGCGGTTAGTAAAGAAGAGACTGAAGCGGTTAGTAAAGAAGAGACTGAAGCAATTAGTAAAGAAGAGACTGAATTTATTAGTAAAGAAGAGACTGAAGCGGTTAGTAAAGAAGAGACTGAAGCAATTAGTAAAGAAGAGACTGAAGCAGTTATTAGAGAAGAGATGGAAGCAGGTATTAAAGAAGATACTGAAGAAGGTATTACAGAAGAGACTGAAGCAGGTATTAAAGAAGAGACTGACGCAGTTAGTAAAGAAGAGACTGAAGCAGTTATTACAGAAGAGACTGAAGCAGGTATTAAAGAAGATACTGAAGGATGTATTAAAGAAAAGACTGAAGCAAGTATTAAAGAAAACACTGAAGCAGTTATTAGAGAAGAGACTGAAGCAGTTATTAAAGAAGTGACTGAAGCAGGTATTAAAGAAGACACTGAAGCATGTATTAAAGAAGACACTGAAGCAGGTATTAAAGAAGACACTGAAGCAGGTATTAAAGAAGACACTGAAGCAGGTATTAAAGAAGACACTGAAGGAATAGTTGGAGAAGAGACTAAAGCAGTTAGTAAACAAGAGACTGATGTAGTTAATAAAGAAGAGACTGAAGCAGTTAAAAAAGAAAAGACTGAAGCATTTATTAAACAAGAGACTGAATCAACTAATAAAGAAGAAACTGAAGCGCTTAATAATGAGTCTTTTTCTGATAATAAAAATGATTCGGAAGAAGTTAATAAGGAAGATACTGAAGCAGTAATTAAAGAAGATACTGAAGCAGTAAGTAAAGAAGAGACTGAAACTACTAATAAAGAAGAGACTGAATCAGTTAATGAGTCTTTCTCAGATGATAAAAATGATTCTGAAGCAGTTAGTAAAGAAGAAACTGATAATTCACAATCTCTTTCTGGTTCGGAGACAAGTTCTGTTGAAACTACTTTACATACATCTAATGCTGCTAGAGCTGAAAATGTGTTGCGGTCATTAAGTAAAGAAGGTTCAGAGGCCTCTGAGGGTGCAGGCTTAGATGACTATGATTTGGATGACATTGACGATGTGTTGAAGTCTTCAATAGAAAACCCTGAAGAGAAAACACTGGAAAGTGAAGAAACTGTTTCCAAGGGGAAAGAAATGGTAGCTGTGGTAGCTAAAGAAACCAGCACTCCACAAAAATCTCCTCTTGTGACACCAACTGGCTCTGGACATAAAAAAGACAAAAGTCTTAAGAGTAGGCTATCAGTGCGTAAAGGGAAAAAAGAAAAGCATGATGAATCTGTAAGTAAAGGTGAAAAGTCAGAATCTCACACGTCTTTGGAAACTGAAGATCTAGAGAGTACATTGGACAAACATATGGAAGAGCCTGGTCTATCTAAGGCTCATAAAAAATCAAAAAAATTTAACCTTTTCAAAAAAGTATTCAAGTAATTTTTTTTTAGCATGGAAACATTTGTTTACTTTTGATAGCGTTTTTTTTAAGGCAGTCAAAATTGTTGTCTTTTTCTTTATCAAAAAATTGATGAAATTCGTTTTGTATTTTCTTTGAACTATTCTTGTCAAACACATTTTATATGCAATTATACTTGTAAGTAAATATTCTGAAAGTTATTGCTTCCATTTGACATTGACTACCTAATGCAAGTTAACTGTTTTATGTTTGTAAATAATTATTCACTGCAGTTTTTCTACGATATTATTGAAAGTATTTAAAAAAATTTTGTTAAGAAATGGCCTGTGATGAATCCTTTGCTCTTTATCAGTAAAATGTCTTTCATATATTGCATACATAATCTTACTCCTAAAGAAAGAGTTACTTAAGACTCCAGAGGAAGACTCAAGTCATTTAGTTCTGGAGCTCTACTGGAAGCTCTAAAAATAGGATTTAGGGAAAAAAATGATTTTTTTTGTGGAAGTTATTGAGTGCAATTTCAGGCTAAAATTATTAAGCTTCTTTTGTTTATTCCTTACAATTTACAGTTTGTATTCTTTGACTATGTCAATATATTGTTAAATGTAACTTTATTGGTAAAAAGATTGTGAAAATCTGGCAACTTTCACAGTAGTCTAGTGTTGAGATGGCACATTTCAAAAAGGTTGTTAAATGAGTTGTTGGCTTTTTTTTTTTAATGAAAAAGAAAAATTAGAATTAAGTACAAAAAAAAATGTTCTAACATTCTCAAAACAAAACACTACAATAACATAGGTTTCAACAGAGTTGTAAAAGTTTTGATAAAATGCTTTCTGAATTATACCCTTTGTTGACCACACTCCTATTGAGTTCTTGCCTTACTATTATTCTAGCTCATATCCATGTGCATTTGGATTTTTTTTTTCCTTCCTTTAAGTTGCTCTTTCCTTTGTTTTAGTTGCTTTTTATTATTATTATTATATTTTTTTGTGATTGGTATTTTTTAAAGTAAAATATGAAATGGTAAATAATCAATTGTAAATGGTATTCATGTATTGAATGTCTTAGTTGCTTGGTTAAGTACAGAGGCTTTTATATAGCATATTTTGTGTTTATTTTTTTAAGTTTGGTTATGGAAATTATATACACTATAGATGCTCTTCATTCCATTAGGGTCTAGTAAAATGCATTTTAATAGTAATAATGATTGTGTGTGTAGAGCTTAAACATATTTGATGATATTTGGTAGATAGTACTGACCTATATCAAATTTTCCCAACCATTTGTTTACTTTTGGTAGTTTTACAAGTCAGAGTCAAATTGTTTTTGCTCAGTAAGATTTAGAAGATAATAGATATTTCTTTAAAAGAAACATTTTAGTAGTCATTCAAAGAGTGTTTTGCTTTTGTTTTTCTCTGCATGAATGTGATGGATATGGAAACATGCTTTTTTAAAAGTATTTTCTTTTATTAAACTATTTTTTAAACTGGATATTTTTTTCTTTAAAAAAATATTATATTGTATATAAATACTATTCTAGAACTAGAATGATCAAAGTTAATGTTTATCTTGTTAAAGTGTTCAAAAAGGCTGAACTATATGCATTTGTTGAAAAAACACATTCCTTAAACATGTGGATTGATTTTAAAAAAAAACATTGCATGGTTTTAAATTTCATTTGAATAATTTTGTTTTTTTTTATCTAGCTGCATGGTTTTGTTCAATTATACAGGGTGATAAAATCAGGTTGCTGCTTAGATCCTTAGCTGTATAACATACTCCTTAATTGTTTTGGTGTCATTGTTGAATGCCTGTACTGGTAATTGATGAGCCTAAACCAAGTCAGACTAGTCCAGTGCAGTGACTGTAAAACAAAACTCTTCTAGTTCAGAATGCTGTTATTGAAGTGATTGAATAAAATATACCTTCATTATTTTTATACTTAACATGTATGACGCTTTCAGAAACATTAAATATATAGCAAAAGCTCTTTTAAAATTTATACTGGATATTTCTTTTCCCAATAAAGTATACAGTGGACTATGAATTAATTGTTGAAGTAATTTTTGCTTGTTTGTTGAAGTTCTCATACAACTTGACTCTGGCTTCTATAGTTGCATGTTTAGAAAATAATTTTTGTAAATTTTGTCAGAAATGCTTTGTAGCAATTTTGCATGATTTTTTTTTTTTTTTTATTATGCCTTCTTTTTTTTCTTTTTTCACCCTCTTTGTCCCACCATTCCAATGCCACCAATGATTGTATTGGACCAGGCGATGAATTAGCAGCATTGCCAGTATTTCATTTTACTGTAGATTCATATTTTACTATTCCAAATTAAGGTGGAAGCTCCTAGCAATAAGAAACATATTTTATAAAATATTTTTTACTTGAGATAAATCATCTGAATATTTGAAAACTTCATTTTAATTGTACAAGTACCGTATTTTTCATTTGCATTCTTGTTGTGTGTAAAGGATGAACTGTTTTGTTGAGCCCAAACTAGACCTCCGAGTCAAGTTGTATATTGTAGTGTCAAACCTCATTATAATCAACTGCATCTCAACATTTTGACTTTCCTTCAATGAGAGGTACACTAACACTCGTTTGAGCCAGTCTTTTATAAGGAGGTTTGACTGCAATTCCTTGCCTGCTTAGTTTGTTCATGTTTTGTGTTGCATTTGTTCATTTGTTTCTCTCTCTCTCTCTCTCTCGCTCTCTCTGTAAAGACATAAGAAACGAAAAAAAAATGTTTTCTCTAACAATTAAATATAAACAGAACAGCTATTATAATTACTAAGTACAATACTACAAATTGAAAGACTAATTTGATCAATTTTATGTTTTAAAAATGGGCCTATCAAACCACACTGGTCTGCTGTAAGTGTAGGAGACATTGGTACTAAAATCTATGTACATATTTGTAGTACTAACCCACACACACAAAAAAATATACATGACATATTATCATATGTTTTAATATGGCTATAACTAATTAACTATGATTACCAATGACATATATAGCGTTGAAGATAAGCTCAATTTATTGTGCACAGTGGGATATGAGCATGGATAAGTCATGTCCAATGTTTAGTGTTGTGTGGGCTTATAGACACAGAGCTCAGTATATCAGATGGTTTGATGATATTAACTAAATAATGGTAGTTTAAAATGTTTCCCCTGTATTGTTCCTCAGATGATAAAATTAGAGGTTTTGCTTTAGAAAAGGCATCCTTGTTTAAAGAGGTATGTAGATGTGTCGTACTATTTTTACTTTAAACCAATTGTTCTGTTAATAGTGTGACTGTGATCAAAGTATACAGGGAGGGTTTATTGGAGTGCTAGTTTTTTGCTGCTGAATGAAGTTCTGGGTTGATATCCTGATGGGGGGAATCAAGTTTTCAAGCATTTCTCAGTGGGTGGCTATGGCTAAAAAAAAGTACGTCTTTGGGATGACCATATAATACTCTCATACACTATTGAGCACAGAAACTCGTGAAATGAAAAACCTCATCACTGTGAACTTAGGTCCCCACAAGAAAGTTAAAGTTTGCCATCAATTTCGCATTTATGTTTCTAGTCATTAGATATTTTGTAAAACTTTTTAGAAGATAATCTTGACCAACTAATTCAAAACAATATATACTAAAACAACTCAACTTGCAAAATGAATGAGATATATATTATTTAAGGGGATATAACCATTGTTATTATAAAGTTATACCCCTTTAGTTTCTTTCCACAAGAATTTCTGAAAAAAAAATGTGACCTAAATTAATTTTAAGCATAGTGTTTGGAAAACATTTCTTGGAGAAAGTTATAATAATG